GTCATAAAATATGATTCTTCTTTTCATTTTTTCCCCCCATTTAAAACATAAAAACCAGTCTTAGTTTGTGGTTTGTACAAAAAGAGGTAGCGAGCTAGGTTTGGCTTACAGGCTATAGTTTGCCAATCACTGTCTTATATAACCTTCCTATCAATCCTACAAGATCGATACGATTATTATTCCCTCTTTAAAGATGAGAAAACTGAGTCTCACAGAGCTAACGTAACGTGCCCAAATACACACAGCTGGTGAGTAAGCAAGCTGGGATTCTAATTCAGGAGGTCTAACTCTGTAACTTGGTTTTAAGGACAATGCTGTTACCTTCATATGGTTGCCTTCTAATCTTATCTTTTATTCTTTGTTACAAAAGTTACACATTTAAGTTTAAAAAGTTCAAATCACTCAGAGTCATAAGGAAGAAAATGAGAGGAACTCCACCCTCCACAGATAAACACTGTTAAGGGTTTGGACACACAGCTCACACAATGCTGACTGGTTAGAATGTTCTGAACACTGTGTGACTTTGGACAGATTGCCTAACCTCTCTGGGCCCTTGTCTCTCAAATGAGGAGGTTAGACAGGATGACACAGTTCTGTGGGCCCTGCCAGGTCTGAGCATGGAGATCTGTTTGTAAGGATTGTGCAATGACAGCTAGCTCTGTCCCAACTGCCTGGGTGTAGAGGGTGATGTCAGCCCTTTGCCAGTCCCTCAAGGTAGGCCCGAGTGGCTACAGAGTCTCTTGAGCAGGGGCATGAGGGCCTGAGCTGGGAGTCTTAGGAGGCTCCAGGCTCCCTGCTGGGCTGACACCAGGGACCACTCTGTCCAGTGAGAAGAGCTCCAGGAAGCTGGGAGGCAGAGGCTCCAGGCAGTGCTGCCGGACATGGGGCTGGCAGACTGGCAGACGCGGAGGCCTCAACAGAGCCAGGCCCAGCTCCCTCTCTCAAGTCAGACAGGCGCTGGGTTTGGATCCCCGTCTGATGATTATCACCTTTATGACCTCAGGCATGTGACCTTTGGCATGTCTCCTCTCTGAGCCTCTTTTCTTGCCTATAAAATGGGGACAACAAGCACCTCACAGGATCACTGCCAGATTCATGGAAAGATACCTGTAATGCACCTGGCCCAGAGGTGAGGCCCGATAAGTGTCAATGACCACTCTCCACCCTTCTGACACTTTTCAACAGTACCCTTTGAAACAATTCTACCGTTTCCCAAATTGTGAACCTACTATGTGCCAGGCACCACATCAAAGGTAGTAGGCTGGGGAGTGCAATGCTGAGAAAAACACACCCCTTGTCTTCAAGCTGACAAGCTTACACCCTGTGGGGAGTACGACAAAGATCTAGGTGACTTGTACACAATGAGAATACATGGACAATGTCCTCCAGGTCAAGAAGAGGGAGCAGTTGGAGGAACCTAAGGAGTCTTCACTTGGAAAGCCCAGAGGGGCCACTGTCTGGCAGGGGGTGGGGGAGGAATGTGAGCAAAGATGTGGCAGAGGACAAGAACATTCTAGGAACACAGGCCCACAGAATTTTCCTGGAGCACAAGAAAGAAAGAAAAGAGAGTGGGAAGCTGAGCCATATAGATGGCGAGGCTCAGTAGCAGTGCGTTTTGGATTTGCTAAGAAATGGGGAGTTGTAGGATATTGAGGGGAGGAAACCCATACAGCACAGGGGAGACAGGAAAAAGGCCGTGGGTTTTCAAAGAGGGAACATGAATGTGGGACCCTGCTCCCCCTCTTGAGAACACCCCCTTTGGGTGTCATCCATATCAGGTTCTTACACACTGTTTCACTTGGTCCTAAATGGATGTTATTCCCAGTTTACAAACGGGGAAACAGACGCTCAGAAATGGTCAGCTGCTTGCCCAAGGTCACCGAGCAGACAGTGAGAGGGGGCCTCTTTCTGACTGTCATTGGGGGAGCTCCACTCTTCTCAAACTGTGATCCCAAGAGAGATCCAAAGTCGCCTTTGAGAGCAGGATTAGGACAGGGACTATGAGCTAGGGCCAACCCCGGCTACACCCAGTCTCCCCAAAGTCCTTGGAGGTGTGTGTTATTATTATTCTCTCCATCATGGGAAGGAGGGGGTGGAGCTCAGCACCATGGGAGGACTTACTCAAGGCCACACATTAAAGGTAGGGAATCCCAGCCAGCTTTTGGGGAAGTATGGAACTCTGAACCCTTCTTCCCACTACTCCACACTGCCACCAGGTTTATTCCTAAGCAGGAGTAGGTAGAACTGGGAACAGCCCAGGTCAGAAAGGCCCAATTCTCTCCCCTGAGTCAACATCCACTGATTTATCTGCTTCAGTCCCTCTGGCGGCCAGGCCCACAAGGCCAGTCCCTCACTCCTGTGGTTACAGAGACCAGATGATGTTGGGCTCTCTTTGGCTCCATCCTCAGTGAGAAGCACCATCTCCACTGCCTGGATTGGGGGCCTAGGTGGCTACACGTTTACCACTTGCCTCTAGGCAGGTGACCCATCGTGAGTGCTGTGTGGTAGAGGATCTTAAAGAGGAGCTCTCCCTGAGTCGGGCTGATGTCTCTCATAAGCAGATGGCTTGCAGTGACCTTCTCCCTGGTTCTGAGGCAAGTCTCTGAAAGGCACAGGGACAGAACCATTCTGCTGCTGAATCCTAGAGATACAGTGAATCATAAAGAGCAGGGGTGGGGTAGGGCCTGGGTTCCCTAACCCCCTCATCTCTCACTCGGGCCTCAAACCATCTACAAAGTGGGCCAGTGTAGACCCACGGTACAGATGTGGGCTTGGAGGCTCAGTAGGGGTCGAGACTCACCTCTGACCATCCAGCAGCAAAATGACAGGGTTCAAGTCTACTTTTATACTCTTTCCAGCAAGGGAGGAGAGAGAAAAGCAGGAGAGGCCAGAAGATACCTGGCTCTAGGGCCAGACTGTGCCACTACTACCGTGATAATGGTACTAAAGAGAATCTTGCTCTGTCACCAGGCTAGAGTGCCATAGTGTGATCTTGGCTCACTGCAACCTCCGCCTCCTGGGCTTCAGGCGATTCTCCTGCCTCAGCCTCCCGAGTAACTGGGATTACAGGCGTCCACCACTACGCCCAGATAATTTTTGCATGTTTAGCAGAGACGGGGTTTCACCGTGTTAGCCAGGATGGTCTCGATCTCCTGAACTCGTGATCCGCCTGCCTCAGCCTCCCAAAGTGCTGGGATTACAGGTGTGAGCCACAGCACCCAGCCCTTAAAAGAGTTTTCTTGTTGAAAAATTTCGGTAGGGGAAGGTATAATGAATTCTCTTGGTGAGAGAAAAAAAAATGGGACAAATCAAGTCGGTATGCAGTGAAAAGTCAGCAGCTGTAACATTCTATGATTCAACGCAAAAAGTATGTTGAGTTCCTCAGCTGAATAAGTAGTATAAACAAATAATTTCTTTTTCTTCTATCTCTCCACACAGGGAGGGTGTTGCTCTTATCTGAGGACCTCTTTGCTGTCCTCGACCAATGTTCAAATGAAGGTAGAAAACGCCCTTTTAAAAAAAAGCACTCCATTCCCTGAACTTTTCTAGAAGAATCCAGGCAGAACGTTTGCGCAGGCGAAAACACACAAGCTAAGCGAGGCAAATGCAGAAGTTGCCTCTGGTGATACAGCTCGCACAACGACGACAGAGGGTGGCCAGTGAAATCCCCTCCCCCAGGAGGGGAGGAAACCGCAGAATGTTCCTGACTCGGCACCCGGGCGGGTGGCGCAATGTTTATGTTTGTGTACCTAGCGCGTCGCGTCGCTGCAGCAGGCTGTGCTGTCCAGGGGGCCGTCACTGGGACTCAGGGCACGGATATCGCTGGGCGTTGGGGGCGGGGGGTCTTCCCAAGCGTTGCGATCCATGTCCTGGCAATCCGCCCAGAACGGCCCGGGATTGGATTTTGCCTTCAGCCTATAACGGAAGGGACGACAGGGAGCGAGGGTTGGGGCCGGCTTCTGTTCCGGGTTGGAGCCCCCCAGCCCAGCGCTTAGTGGGCGCTCACTCAGTATACTGCCTATTTGTGTAATAAAGGGATGGAGAAGCTCGGTCTGGAGCCAAGGTGACAGAAACGTGTCGGGCGGCCCCTGGGGGGCGCCGTCGAGTCGCGCTGCGGGTCGCCCCTCACCCCTCCAAACGCCAAACCCGGGAATCCACCGCGGGGCCTTGCGACCCCCGACCGGGATTTCAGCCCCTTGACCTGCCTTCCTTGGCTCCAAGTCTTCCGGGGGCCACAGACTAGGAATAGCATTATTTCCCGGTGGGGGTTTGCTCGCTTACACTTTCATGGCAAATGTAGGTATTTTAAAGCCACCTTAAAGAAAGTCGGGGAAACAGGAAAGCATTGCCCTGAACCTCTCCGCCCCAACTCGCTCGAGTCGTTCTTGGTAGGAACGACTTTTCTATCGGCAGAGCTGCTCATTTTTCTCCAAACTTCATCTTAGGCGCCTCTGTGCTGCCCCCCGCGCCGCCCCACCCCACACCCCAGTAGTGTGGTTCTGGGCAAGTCAGTAGCTTCGCTTGGGGAACCTCAGTTTCCCCGCCTGTTAGTGATGAGGAAATGAGAGAAAGGGGCACAAGAGTATGCAGAAGCGCAGGAAGCCCCTTTCGGCTCAGGTCGAAAGCCGAGGGGCACGGGGAAGGGGACTCGGGGAGGGAGAGACGGAGGAGCGGCGAGGCCAAGGCAGGTGGCACGTCGCCCATTCTCCCGGCCGCTCGCATCCCAGAGGTCAGCCTCAGCTGGCAGCGAGCCCTCCGCCTCCCCGCTGGGCCCGGAGCGCGGCGCGGGCCCAGTCCCTGGGGACGCGCCAAGAGCAGGCCGGACGGCAGGGCGGGGGCCGGGCCGCGAGCCAGCGCGCAGCGAGCGGACCCAGCTCCGAGGCTGATGACGTCTTCCCCTCTAGCTCGGCGGCGCCGGGCCGGGCAGGGCGGGTGACGTCACCGCCCCGTCACGTGATCACCATTCAAACAAACACCCTCCTCCCCCTGCGCGCGGGTCAGGCCCGCCCCATCGCCCAGAGGCCTCATATAAACGAGCTCCCCGGATAGGGCTCGCTGCGAAGGACATTCGGGCTGTGTGTGCGACGTGGTTCGAAGGGGCAGTCGGGGCAACCGCGAAGAAGCCGAGGAGCCCAGAGCCCCGCGTGACGCTCCTCTCTCAGTCCAAAAGCAGCTTTTGGTTCGGCGCAGAGCGACCCGGGGGTCTAGCTTTTCCTCGAAAGGCGCCGCCCTGCCCTTGGCCCCGAGGACAAAGAGCACCGCAGGGCTGATCACGCTGGGGGCGCTGAGGCCGGCCATGGTCATGGAAGTGGGCACCCTGGACGCTGGAAGCCTGCGGGCGCTGCTGAGGGAGCGCGCGGCACAATGCCTGCTGCTGGACTGCCGCTCCTTCTTCGCCTTCAACGCCGGCCACATCGCCGGCTCTGTCAACGTGCGCTTCAGCACCATCGTGCGGCGCCGGGCCAAGGGCGCCATGGGCCTGGAGCACATCGTGCCCAACGCCGAGCTGCGCGGCCGCCTGTTGGCCGGCGCCTACCACGCCGTGGTGTTGCTGGACGAGCGCAGCGCCGCCCTGGACGGCGCCAAGCGCGACGGCACCCTGAGTCTGGCGGCCGGTGCGCTCTGCCGCGAGGCGCGCGCCGCGCAAGTCTTCTTCCTCAAAGGTACGCCCTCGGGGAAGCTCGGGGCGGGCCGCACACCCCTGAGATTTTGCCCGGTACCCTCGGCTCTTGGCTCCCGGGGGGTCGCCCCACCTGCAGCGCGTGGGCGCTGGAGTACATTTATCTCTGGAACTTGTCATTGGCTTTGTTTGGCTCTGGGAACAAAGACTTGCCTGGGCCTTTCCGCTGTAAACTTCCAGCCCTTGGTGGGTGGGGGAGTCGTATGAAGGTGCCCTGTCCCGGCGTCACTAATGAGGAAAAAAAAAATGTCTTTGTATTCCCAGGAGGATACGAAGCGTTTTCGGCTTCCTGCCCGGAGCTGTGCAGCAAACAGTCGACCCCCATGGGGCTCAGCCTTCCCCTGAGTACTAGCGTCCCTGACAGCACGGAATCTGGGTGCAGTTCCTGCAGTACCCCACTCTACGATCAGGTTAGTAGGTGTCCCTGCCACAGGGGAGAAGTAAGAACTGGCAAAGGCACGGAGGAGTAGTGCCAGGGAGAATATAGAAAGTGACCTGCAGCATTATTTATAACGGAGGGGACACAGGGATATGATTGTAGGCTCTACAGAAATGAATTTGCTGGTCCTGCCCAGGCAAATGGGCTTAGTTCCCTGTTTATTTATCCTCCAGCAACAGAACTGTGTTCACTCGCTATCTGAAATTGACTTTTCCAGCAGAAAGTTTTTGTGGGTGTGGGCACTGGCCTTGGCTTTGAGCGAGCTTGATGAATGTTGGATATTTCTGGATTTCAGGGTGGTCCGGTGGAAATCCTGCCCTTTCTGTACCTGGGCAGTGCCTATCACGCTTCCCGCAAGGACATGCTGGATGCCTTGGGCATCACTGCCTTGATCAACGTCTCAGCCAATTGTCCCAACCATTTTGAGGGTCACTACCAATACAAGAGCATCCCTGTGGAGGACAACCACAAGGCAGACATCAGCTCCTGGTTCAACGAGGCCATTGACTTCATAGGTAAATGGAATGGATGCCTGGGGCTTTTCTGCCTCTCTCTTCTCATTTTAGCCCCTAAGCCCAACCTCTGTGGCAAGAGCTTGAAGTCTTCTGAGCCTTCTTCCAGACATTCAGTATCAGTCTGGTGTGGGCAACATTCCTGCAAAATGTGAATTCGATTCAATGTCCCACTTTACAGATTTGCAAACTGGGGCTCACAAAGTTGAATTGACTGGTGTGAGATCTATCTGCTGAGTGGAAATCCCCAGTCTGAGTTTAAATCCTGTGCCATCCTTTGCGCGGTGCCCAAGTTGCTTCCATGAACAGTAGCCATGTGATGGCATGTGGTGATGTTGACCATTTCTAGACAAGACACACGTGACCTTTCTCAGATACACTGTACCTGGGCTTGGGGTGGTTCTCCTGAGCTCTCCAGTAACCAGCCGCTCCTTTTGTTTTCTAGACTCCATCAAGAATGCTGGAGGAAGGGTGTTTGTCCACTGCCAGGCAGGCATTTCCCGGTCAGCTACTATCTGCCTTGCTTACCTCATGAGGACTAACCGAGTCAAGCTAGACGAGGCCTTTGAGTTTGTGAAGCAGAGGCGAAGCATCATCTCCCCCAACTTCAGCTTCATGGGCCAGCTGCTGCAGTTTGAGTCCCAGGTGCTGGCCCCACACTGCTCGGCAGAGGCTGGGAGCCCCGCCATGGCTGTGCTTGACCGAGGCACCTCCACCACCACTGTGTTCAACTTCCCCGTCTCCATCCCTGTCCACTCCACGAACAGTGCGCTGAGCTACCTTCAGAGTCCCATCACGACCTCTCCCAGCTGCTGAAAGGCTGTGGGAGGTGAGGCTCTTCACATCCCACTGGGACTCCAGGCTCCTTGAGAGGAGAAATGCAGTAACTCTGGGAGGGGCTCGAGAGGGCTGGTCTTTATTTATTTAACTTCACCCGAGTTCCACTGGGTTCCTAAGCAGTCGTTGTGATGACTTAGCGTCAAGACATCTGCTGAACTCAGCACATTCGGGACCAATATGTAGTGGGTACATCAAGTCCCTCTGACAAAATGGGGCAGAAGAGAAAGGACTCAGTGTGTGAGCCAGTTTCTTTTTGCTCGCTCCTGTTTTTTGTAGAATCTCTTCATGCTTGACATACCTACCAGTATTATCATTCCCGACGACACATATACATATGAGAATATACCTTATTTATTTTTGTGGAGGTGTCTGCCTCCACAAATGTCATTGTCTACTCCTAGAAGAACCAAATACCTCAATTTTTGTTTTTGAGTACTGTACTATCCTGTAAATATATCGTAAGCAGGTTTGTTTTCAGCACTGATGGAAAATACCAGTGTTGGGGTTTTTTTTTAGTTGCCAACAGTTGTATGTTTGCTGATTATTTATGACCTGAAATAATATATTTCTTCTTCTAAGAAGACATTTTGTTACATAAGGATAACTTTTTTATACAATGGAATAAATTATGGCATTTCTATTGAAATTTCAATGCTTTTATTTCTTTGGCAACCACACCCAGTCCCTCTCCCACTAGTGAACTAGGGAAGAATTTCGACAAGGGCCTGCAGAATGTGTTGAGATCTGATCCCTGTGGTGGCCCATTGGTCCCATGAAATGGCTGGGTTGCAAGGGAGGAAGACAAGTGAGTATCATGAAACACCAGATGCTACAACTGAACTCTTAGTATTGGATCAGTGGGTCTGCCCATGCCCATTTTAGCAGCTCTGTAACCTACTATGTCACCCAGGATGCTAAGGTGTCCCCAGAGCTAAAGCTAGGAGGAAATCGCCACTTGCCTGGATTACCTTTTTCATTTAATACCCTCCTCAGGTTAATATAAAAAGTCGCCTGACCGTCTCTGAGCTGTGCTGGAGTTATGAGACAAAAGTTTTTCCAAACACATGATATAAGGCAGTGTGTGCACCTGCCCCCAGAGAAACTCAGCAAGGCCCTTTGCAGATGAGATGCTGAGACCCAGCATGGCTAAGTGGCAGAAACAGGGGAATTGGAATCTACATCTGTTTCGGACTTTCATTTGCCCATCTCATGGCACTCTTTTTGCTTTTTTTTTTTTTTTTTTTTTTTTAAGAGTCTCTGTCGCCCAGGCTGAAGTGCAATGGCATGAGCTCGGCTCACTGCAACATCTGCCTCCCAGGTTCAAGCCATTCTCCTGCCTCAGCTTCCTAAGTAGCTGGGATTACAGGTGCACGTCACCATGCCCGGCTAATTTTTGTGTTTTTAGTAGAGACGGGGTTTCACCATGTTGGTCAGGCTGGTCTTGAACTCCTGACCTATCTTTTTGCTTTTAAAAAGGCTTTTGTTATTGTGAAAATAATACATTGAATGGCAAAACAAAAACAAAAAAAATTCAAGCACTATAAGCAAATACCATGCAAATACATCACCTGCAACAGCCTGTTCCCAACCTGACCATTGCTAACATTGCGGAGGACATTCACGCTGGTGTTTCTGCATGTAGACATGGCATTTTTGCTGGTTGTCTCCTTCAGGTCACCTGCTGTTCTGATTTCATAATTTTATTGAAGATAAGCAATTAAACCTAACTTGATCTAGGATAATATTCTGAATTTGTACTCCTTTGCCAAGCAGGCAAAAAACAGAAAAGATGTAATTGCTAACAACCTGTAATCCAGTCTACAATGTTGCGTTAAGAAACTGTGAAGTTCTTGGATTACTGGCCCCTTAGCGCCCCACTCCACTCTGTTTCTGGACAAAGTGCTATGGGAAGCAGAAAAGGAAACACCGCATTTGTCTTATCCAGGAGCACCCTGTGCTATGGGTCTGGTCCTGTCCTGTTGTTCAAGGTCTTTACACAGAATCAGTGTCCTTGACTTTGCCCCTCTGGCTCACTGTCTGCCACTTGACTCCCAGGGTCTGAAAGATCCCTGTGTTCTAAGTTTTAAGAACTTACCCTGGGCTGGCAAGCTCATTTCCTCAGCTGGGTTTCCGATTACAAGTATATTCATGCCTATCAAAACAAATCGTACCCAATGTTTTTATCAAAGCCTAGAAATTTACTATTGTAAATATCTCTCTCCGTGGAAATGTACCAGCGACATTGAGTCTGTGACAGATGCCATGGCTGACTTCCCCGTGGGTTAGGGCCTTCACTTTTTGCTTGGCAGGCACTGGCTGAACCAAAATTAATCTCCAGTGTGATCCACGCAGTGGAAAAATACAGCGGCTGCCTAAGGGAGCTGCCAGTGAAAACAAGTCACTCACTTCTCCCAGCTCAAGCCACTCTGCCTCATGCCAGCCCTGAGAGCCAGGGATGATAACCCCCGATCCCCATGTACTGGAGTCACTGTGTTCAGACCCTCCAGAGAATGTCATATTTGGCCTCAGACTGCTTTCCTTGGGGGAAAAAAAATGCCTCCTGATGAAAAGAAAGATACTTAAAGTCTATTAACGTGTTTGTTTCCCAGGAAGAGATTGAAATAAGACTTTTAATACTGATAATGTGGCAGTGATGGTTGCCAGTTTTAGAGTGAGCACTGTGTGCCAGGTACTGCTAAGGTTAAGTAATCTTTGACAGCAATACCCATTTTACAGAGGACAAAGCTGAGGCTCACTTGTGAGAAAGACATGGGCCAATGAATGTAAAGTGCCTGGCACACAATGGGCCATGGAGAAATGTTTCCATCCCCTTGTCTCTGTCCTAATGACTTCTGGCAGTTCTCCTGGTTCAGTTTTCCCACCCTGTAAAATGACCAGTTTGCACTGGATCTCAGTACTGTTCTTCCCATCTCTCTAATTCTGGGATGTAGAAAATGCATCAATGCATACTTTATGCTTTTCTGTGGTTTCCAGGCACCCATTATTTCATTATAATACCTCCAACCCCCCCAAACCCCCCCACCCGCCACCTCCACCGCATCCTCTCCTTTCCTCGGAATTTTGCAAATCGTAGCTAATTTGCTTTGGACTTGCAGCCTCTGGCGTTCCTTTCCCTCCCTCCCCTGGCCCCGTCGGAGGATGACATCATTGACATCATTGTGTGTACACCTTTAAGATTATATAAATCTGTGATCCTACAGTGGCCTCCATCCCCATGGTAACGCGGAGGAGTTTCCCTTTTGTGAGGAAAGCTGTCATGTCACTTCCTGCTGCTGACAAATCAGTTTAGGAGATTAAAATAAAGCGGGGCGGGGTGCCTCTGAGAAGTGCTGGCTGCGGTGGTTTCTGGTTGCCATACACAGAGGCAAACAATGCTGCTGCGGCCCCGCCCCGCGCCCGCCGGGTGGATCCAGGTCACCCTGGGCTGTTTTTCTCTGCAGGTTGCTTTCTGGAGAGCAGGTGGGAGAGCTGCTCATCTCTTTTCCGGAGCTCTGCGGGGCGAGCCTGTTTGAGAACAGCCTGTAGGTGCAGACCGGCAGCCCTGCTCCCCTCTGACGGCCGAGGAGGTGTCTTCCACCCTGTGGAGAACAAAGGGTGCGCTCTGCGTGCTAGCGCCGCAGTGGACTAAACGGTGCTCTGCCAAGGAAGATAACGTTATAGCCACCTTAAAAGACTGTGGCTTTTAAAGCTAGGCAGGAGACCCACACATTCATTCATTCATTCATTCCTTCCTTCCTTCATTCATTCCTTCCTTCATTCATTCAACAAATATTGATAAATATAGTCTCAGGGGATACTTTGGTGGACAAAATTCCTACTCATAAGTAGCTAAAATTACTTTTACTATTTTCGCTAAACAGCAAAAGTAATTTTACTTTGTCACTTGCCATCTCATGGCACTATATATGGGGGGGGTATATAAATAAGATAATCACAAAATAAGGATGAAGGCTATGAAGGTACGATAAACTAAGACCTGAATTATATAACCCAGTTGCCCATTTGAGAGGTGAACTGGGAAGAGGGCTCCAAGGACAGGAGAGCAGCGAAGACCTGAGGTATGTTTGTGGACTGGTGGATATAGTACGTGATTTGGAGTTGACTAGACCTGCGTTCAAGTCCTGATTCTGCCACCTGTTAGTGGTGTGTAAGCTATCAAACTTTTTTTTTTTTTTTTTTTTTTTT